GAAAAAACAGTCTGGACATTTGCAGTGCTCTGAAAATGACTTCAGCAGCTTGAACCTTCCTCAGCACATCTAAGTCCCATTGCTGTAATTAAACCTGTGCTGTTAAATTCAGCCCCTCCCCTTAGCAGAGATACAGTTACATCTGTAGAGGGATGTACCATAGTATGAAGCAAACCTGTATGGAAAAGAGAATAACCTGTATTTTTGTATTGGTACGTGCCACTCGTCTGTCTGCTTAAGCTTGGGACTGAGAGAGCCTCACACATCTGGCCATTGTCAGTGCAGCAGCTGTGGCTGGAAACAGTAACTCCTTTCTCCCCCCTTCAGCTGAAATTCACAGCTCAGTCAATGAGCATTAGACTTCAAGCTCATTATCATCAGCATTCATTCTTAGAAAGAGTTTCTGGCATAAGAAGGAGCTACAAAAATATATCGTGGATCTTAATTTCCACTATGTTCAAACCATAAATTAAATTATTTGAAAAAATTATTGCGGTCTTTGCCTTTGTTCTTCTTTGGGATTTATGTTGTACTCTTCAAAGGCAGCGAATCAGTAACTGTCCAGGTAAATAGCCCTTTATAAAGTCTGCGTTTTAACTTGCTGGAATTTTTCCGAACCACTGGTAATTGTGTATGTATTTATATATTAACATCTGTATGCAAATGTATATGTTTGTGTACCTGAATGGGTAAATATAAAATATTTGGATTTGGGCCAGGCTTCTAAAGCTGTGTGTGTGACTGGAGAGGGGTCTGTTTCATTGTGCTTGCCTGCAGACATCAGTGACGATGCTGTGCGAGAACACTTTTCTGTCTGCGGAGGTGTAGTGGCCGTGCGAGTTGTGAGAGACAGGAACACCGGCCTGGGCAAAGGCTTCGGCTACGTTCTCTTCGAGGTACGTACGCACGGCGTGCCTCAGGACACTGGGAGTTCCTCTGAATCTGAATTGGGATTTGCCTCTCTAGCCTTTTACATTTATTTATTTTTTTTAGTAACTTTTTACTATTTGTATGTGACATAACAGACACAGAAATGCTACCATTTAAAAAGCCACTTGGAAGACCAGTTCTGCAGAGGCAGATACAAAGCCAACTATTCTGGGTTGTGTACAAAGAAAAGCTGTAAAACGTAGGGGTGAAAGAAATGAACTTTGAGAGAAAGACTTAAAAGGAGGGACAGATGAGTTTGCTTGGAATAACTGCAATGTTCTCCCATTTCTTATGTGTCAAAATACGAGTGGAATTCTTCCGGGCTCTCCATTTTGGATTCAGTACAGCTTGCTTTCCCAGAGCAGTCTCACAGCTTCATCTTCTTTAGTTTATTTCCTGCAGCCCAATACCTTTTTTTTTTCCATTTCTCCTTCCTCTCTTTGCCTCTACCTTTCACTTCTCACATGAGCTGTTTTAGAGCCCCTTTTCAAGTGTCTGTGCCTCGATGTGTGGGTGTGCTGGTGTCATTCAACAAACAGAGCTGTTTGAGCGCTCTTTATTGTAAAATCTCGCTTACAGAAATGAAAGGCAGGCAGCTATTGGAAAGCCATCAGTTGGAACTAACGCTGCTTTTAAACTGAACGTCTGTTCTTGTAGAATACGGATGCTGTACATCTTGCTCTGAAACTCAACGAGACCGTTCTGATGGGGAGAAAGATACGAGTGAAGCGCTGTGGGGAGAAGTGGAAAGTACCACAGAAAAGTCCAAAACAGTCTCGTGCTCCCAAGGACAGAGTCGATGCCACGTTAAAAAGCAAGAGGTGCTCTGATGATTCATTTGTTGGTGAAAAAGCAATCCCGTTAAAGAGCACTAAACCGAAAAGACTAAAAAGTATCGTTAGAAGTAAAGCTGGGAAAAACAAACGGCCTTTTGATAAAAAGCAATCGGGCAAGAGTTCGGTACTGTTCTAGAGACTGATGTACACAGGAGCCTTCTGCCATAAATACTGTTTGCTCATAGCGCTGGGGTTGTTTTTGGGGCTCAGGCTGGGG